AATGACAGCATGCAGGTGTTACTAGCCGGGTGGTATCACTGCAAGGCATCAGCAGTACAAAACATGCTATTGTCCACTGAAACGTTAATACTGTTCGCTTTAGTTGGTTTAATTTCAACATTTAGGATTTAAAAAAAATGTTTTTTTTATCCTAACAGTATGCTTCCGACTTATTCACACACTGCAGCAATCACCATAGTGAGATGTAGTGTGTGCCGACAGGTCAAATGCACCATTATCATGTGCAAGACTTAAAGTGGTCCCTGAACCGAGCTAAAATGATTACATATTGGCCGTTACTCAGATATTTGTTCTGCTGCACTGCACGTAGAAATTGATGTTCCATGAACCCTGGATATTGTTCTCATAAGGTCACGGTTTGGAATTTCATGTAAGTGATGAATGGCTGCAGATTTATTGAGGAGCTCATGAGTGGCTTTTCACTGCATTGAGATTATCAGAGAATATAGCAATAATAGAAATAATTCACTATGATAAAGAATTTAGAAAAAGGTTTTCTATGTATTTTCTTTACATATTAGATTTTTTTTCATCACAGAGCCTTCAAAAGTGAGTCAGAATGACCCATAACGTGTTTGAAATATCAGTCTGGTTGATGTGAACTTTCTTTTCTGGCCTCTCAGCAGTGTGTAAAACCACTGCCATGGTTTGTTATGACAAAGGTCACGGATAACGGATGATCTGCCTACAGTTCCCTAATGTGAGAACAAAGACTTTGTCAAAATATATTCCAGCAATAGAGTGAGCGGGGGATAAGTTACATTGTTTTGAGGATAGGTTTTCCAGACAGAGCGATGTGAAGACAGGCCCTAGCTGTGGATTTACTGGGACTTGTTCTAGTCCGTTAATCCTTGTATCTCTTTGACTCTTTCAGCAGGTTCCTCTGCTGGCAAGTCTTACGGGCTCTGAAGTGGCTGCCCTTCCTGTGCTCACCAATAATTCTAGATCCTGGTATCCAAACCAGCTTGTTTCCAATGCTAGAACGAAGGGAAGCATTTGAGACTGACATGAAAAAGAAAAGGATATATGGTGGGGAACTTGATTTAATTAGGAAAGATTTTAGTATTTTTAGTAATTTTAACATTTAGTTTTGATTATTTTAGACATATATATAGTACCCAGATCTGAATGTTTATCTGAATGAAATTAATCTAAAACAGAAATAAAAGAAAAAAGAAGAATGAGTATGACAAGTGGTGTAGTAAAAGATGTCTTCACATTTTTCACATGCTCTCAACAACCGAGCAGTGTGTTCTGTATAAAATAATCCATATGGCAGCTCGTCCAGAGCAGGGATCCCATGCCGTTACCGGCCCATACATTAGGCTTTTATGGGCCTCGGATGGGGCATGATGAAACCGAATCAGGTCATGCCAATTGATAGATATTCTCCTCAGCTATCGTTTGCACACACAATCCTTTTAAAGTGCAGTGCAGAGAGGTCCCCCACCCCTCCTTACAGTGGTATAGTGACTTCCCCAGAAGCTGTCATCATATTGTTCTCTTAAATATTTAACTTCCTCAAGAGATTGAGCTGTAATATAAGAAATTATCCCTATAATGCCCACTGACTGTTACAAACAGATGTGAAATTTCAGGGTAGACCCAGACTGTAATCAGCCCCCCTATGGCCAAGCTATCATGTTCTTCACTGGGGTCAGACGCACAGTCTCCCTTTTCATATTACCCCTCAGATTTGTCTGTAAGGTAGTGTTATATGGGCTGTGGAGAATTATTAGGCTCTGCACACATCTCTTTATTTGAAATCCTGAATGCCTTAAAAACCAACAAATTGCCTTGCAAAACATCTTAAAGTCACTCTACATCATCAGAAGTCTACAGCACATGGCATGGCAAAAACCTGCACACTACATGTTTTGGTTGGTTTTAGTTTTGGAATGAAGGAGGGTTGCGAGTCTTGTTCTAGATGCTCATTTATCAGTTGAGGAGATGTTGCTTAACAGCTAATGGGAGTTAAGTTTCTCACTTTGCTGGGTGCAACTTTATCTAGCAGTGATTCATCACTCCAGCTCATGTCACTCACTGGCTAACGTGGATAAGGCTCCAGGTTATAAGCTGCAGAGGACTCCTCTTCATGTCTTTCCAGTTGTGATATGTAAATAGTGATAATTAAAAATATACCTTAACTTAAACAGAGCAACAGTACTATCTGGATATCTGTTTATTTCTTCTCTCTGTAGCTGTTAGATTTGTTCTCTCTTAGTAAAAATAACTGCAGGTGAAGCAGGTGAAGCACATGATGCACTTTTCAGGAAATACCCATCCCTGCTCTCCATAGTTGGAACCGGATGACTTGCTGATGTATCTAGTCCCGTAAAGGGAAAGAGGATTAAAATAATGCAGTTCTGGAACAGTTCGTTCAATTATGAGCCAACCTTGCCTAAGAGGGATGACCCTTTGAGGCTGAAACCCATCATTATGGGTTTAGCCCATTAGGCATGTGTGGGGACCGGTGGCCACCCTTATGTTGAGGTATTCTACTGGGCCTTGGCCTTCAGCCCTGGAGCCAGGGGCCCTCGAGCAGGTAGAGCAGAGACATGGTGGCCTGACTGATATTCATGTGAGCCGAGGGCAATGGTGCCCTTCAGGCACAGGGCACTGGAGCGTGACATTTCTGAGAACTGAGAGAGCTCAAGCGAACTTGGAAAGCAAGTGTTGTTTGCTTTGCATGCAGGCTTGGGGTTGCGCCTTGATATCAGCGGTGGAGGAAGTAGTGAGAACTTTTACTGGAGTAAAAATAGCAATACAGCAGTTTAGAAAAACTCTGTTACAAGTAAAAGCACTGCATTCAGAATTTTACAGAAAGTAAGAGTACAAAGGTATTTGCATCAAAATATACTCCCCCCCTAATAGAGAATATAGATCCCCTCCAGACATGTGTTATGACATAAATGAATGATACATGTTTGGAACAATAATGTGTGTCTGATATGGGTTTTTTTTTCAGCAAAAAAAAAGTATAATTCCCACATTAAAATGATTAAAAAGACTTCTTCTGCCTCATTAAAACTTCCAGAATCTGTGAATATATACATTTTGTTCATTTCCAAACTGTCATTTTCAGTGTATGTGCGCTGGTAGTTTCTGTATCACAAGTTGAAAATTGGATGACTGTTCACTTCCAAACTATTGATGTCACATGCTTGTAGGCCCACCCTTTAAAATCAGATTTTCAATGAGCACAGAGGAACTTTCTACTTTCAGCAGACAAATGTGAAAACTAGTGTCAAACTCATCCAACAGTAGGAACAAGGTGAAAATATTCATTATGCAGACTGGAACATTGCAGAATAATATGTATTATGTATTATATTATAATACCATCCATTTATCATCCAAAAAAACTCAAAACTGTACTTAAGCAGAGTACTTATCAAAATTATACAACTTACTCATATTAAATATACTTTTCATGTAACAACGATTTATTAAAATAGTTGAGGGATCAAGAAATGACAGCACTAAAAGGTTTCTGATCGTGAAAGGCTTTACACTCACTTACATTCACTGGACGTGATGAGGATTTCAACAGAAAAACTTGTTACTGTGAGAACCTGCTCCTGTATGACAAAAATCCTCTTTGTCTGATCCGTGGCCCTGCTCCACAGATAATAGAGCAAAATGTGGCCTGAGGGAGATAATTTGTTCCCAGATCTTCAGATCGCAATATTTTCATTTGAGCCCAGGAGGGGATCTCTTGAATTGCCAGCTTCCATTGTGTTTCCAACAAGGGGCACGAAAGTCTTGTCAATTAATTTTTCTTTTATTCCAGACCACAGAGCGCCTGAGTGATTTCAATTATCAACCAATTAAGAGGTGTTTCCTCTTATTTACAGGCTTTGATTTCGTGCGTATCCATATTGTTTAAAGAATAAGACAGGACATGGGGTGTTAACTCACTTGAACATTCCCCTGCCTGGGTTGCTTAATATTTTCTTCCCAATAGTGGGCTTTCTGTTGTGTCCCTTGGGTCACAAACCCAACAAAAGGACATTACATGCCGTTGAAATCTCTTGTTCAGCGGATGCTCTTCCACAGTGGTTCCCAATCAGGCCTAAAAAAACAAAACACACAAAACAAATCCTATTAACAGGATTCACGCACACAAAACAGACAGCGTTTTGCGTGACAAGGCTTTGGGAATGGATGGAGACAGGTGCAATATTCAGCAAACAGGTTAACATCAAACAGGCGCAGTCTGAGTCAAATGCAGCCCAGACAAAAAGCTGAACTTCTGAACCTCATGGGAGTAAGTTAAAGGTCTGATTGCTTGCTGAAATGGGGCTATTGGAAGTGACAAGCGGAAAATGTCTCTGTCTTACACACTTTACTGCTTACAGCCACTTGACTTCAGATTTCCTGACAGGTTCTAAAGCTTTTAAACTGGTTTATTTACCACTCTCTTGCAACACCAAAACGTTTGAGAACTCAATATGATTATGTGAGGCTTTTTTTTTTTTTTACCAGAGTAAGGCTCTTTAAGGAGACAGAGATATTTAAAAACGACTGTTTCAACCTGAAACTATACGCAAGTGTGGTTAGGATGACCGTGTTGTGCTGTATCTGAAAACTGTACAGTAACAAACACATAAGGACCTCTTTGAGGGTAAGGAGGGAGATCATTCACTGACAAAAAAAGGGCAAGAATAAAGTTAACAAAACTATTGAAATTGGCTGTTAAAGGAACATAAAAATAATTTCCGTCAGGAAAATCAAGAAAAAAAGACATGCATTACTTTTATAACCAAGAGCCAAATAGGAGATAATTAAAAGGATGCCTTTAAATGTAATATCAGTTATTACAGTCTCTAAGCAGCCTTGAATTGTTTTTTTTCTCCATCATATACTATACAGAAAAAGTAGGAAAGTGACACATAAGAGTTAAAATAAATGACTTTTATTCAAACATCGACTTGAGTTTAAATAAAACACAAAACACAATTCAAATACATGTCATGTATCTTCTTATGAAAATAATTTATGTACACTTTGTCTTCAGGGACAGGGAGTCGGCCCAACCCAGCAGCTACAATAAGTATTTTTTCCAGTTTTTTAACCAGTGGCCGTTTATGAACCATGAGTATTCCTTTCTAATACAACGAAATAGTGTTTCCCAGTTAGGAAAGGTTATTATGGAAAAAAAATACCAGTTCAGTTCCAGTGCTAGTTTTACAATGAGGCCTACTAAACCAGAACATGAGTAATAAGTAATAACAGTAGGCTACTATAAAGAAATGTGAAGGCTAATGAGAGATAAATTACTTTTTTAATCAAGCAAGACAGTCTACACCTCTGTTCCTTCCCTGTTGTATATGAGGTTATTAACACTAAAATGGTTGGAGAGGCTCTGTACTGAGGTGTAATAGTTCATTCTGTTGTTGTCAGAGTTCAGAGGAGAGATTAAAGTGGGCGAGTAGGAGCCCAGTCCTGACATGCCCTCTCTGGTCTGAGACAGTCCCCCGAGATGCCCTGAGCCGTAGTCCCGCTCCACGCCCCGGGAGCCCTCGCTGCTGCTGCCCGCCAGCAGCGAGTTGACGCTGGACACGAAGCTGCTGAAACACGGGCTGTGCTCCGCGGACGGAGACGGGGACGACTTGGGCTCCGTGGAGGAGGCCGGGGATCCGTGCAGGCTTGGCGGGGAGGAGCTCAGGAGGCTGGCGGTGTCGGACAGCTTGTGCGCGCCGTCTTCCGACTTAACGGGGAGAGCGTTGCTGTCGGCTCCGTTTATGTCCGCTCTCCTTTTCCTCTTCCGCCTGAAGTTCCCGTTGTCGAACATCTTCTCACAGTTGGGGTCCAGCGTCCAGTAGTTTCCTTTACCTGGATGAGAAATAAACAAAGGGTTAAATATGGATGACAAGTTCAAATTCTCCCACATTTTTAAATTTCACCTAAGAAATCCAATCAAACTGACAATGAGCTGGAATGTTTGCGCTTATTTCAGAAGCAGTTCAATTAATTTGAGTAGTTTCATCAAGAGAAAGCAGCACCAATAGCGCACATGTGATTCTAGAAGATTAAATAACACAAAAACACAAAACAATCACATAGAAATACTTCATTTTGGCACAAGTATTCCAGACTCACCGGGGTCATCCTCGTCCCGGGCCACTTTTTTGAAACAGTCGTTCAGTGACAAGTTGTGGCGGATGGAATTCTGCCATCCAGCTTTGCTCTTCTTGTAGAAAGGGAAGTTGTCAGCTACATACTGATAGATCTGACTGAGAGTCAATTTTTTGTCTTGGGCGTTCTGAATGGCCATCGCTATCAGTGCTGAGTAGGAGTACGGTGGTCTGACCATCTTGAAGAGTTCCTGCTGGCTGGATATGGACAGCCACCCCAGGTCCGCTCCACCAAACCCGGTGGGAGGCGGCAAGAACTGCCTCTGGTTCGACCCGTATCCGGACTGAATATAGGACGTGCCGTTGTTCCCGGGAAGATAAGGAGAGGAGTTGATGCTGGGTCCGTTCAGCCATAGGTACGGGTTCGTGGACGGTGAGGTGTACTCTCCGAGGCCGTAGCTTGAGGGGTGCGTCGGGGGCCTCTGGGGGTGATGGTGGTGGAGGTTCTGTTGGTACACACCGTAGTTGTCGCAGTACACGGCCATGTCCAGGAGCTCCTGAGCGCTGTGGTGCTGAATAGGGCTGGTCTGCTGGTTAGATGGTTGGTGTCCAAAAGCGTTCATAATCCGCCCTAACCAGATTCCCAAAACCTAAATCTCTGTGTGTGTCTCCCTCAGGACTGAACTCATCCTCAGAGGGAGGAGTATTTATGCGCAGAGCCCGGAGCCTCCACAGGTAGCCCATTGAAGAAAACTTTTGGAATGGTCACACCCCTCTTTTCTGTCTTGCTACAGTCCTCTTGTATTGAACCAAATCTCCCTATCAATGAGCACCGATACTGCCCTGCTAACTGCAGTGCTGAGCTTTATGTTATTTTAAGGTATATTCTCATTAAGGCGCGTTAGTGACTTATAACTTTTGCCCGTGCGTAATTACGCACAAGAACTTGTGTTGGATTTGGCCAAGTCTTTATTGTTAGAATTAGTTTTAAACAAAAACCGCAAAGACAAAGTGAAGTTAAGTGGAGCTATATCATTTGGTAAATTATTTAAGGTCAACAGAATAAACATTTCTCCTGTTTTCATAATATATTACGGTGGATTTTTTTGCGTAATCTTGCTGTGAGTGATTAAAACTACAAGGTCTAACTTGTTCCTACGTTTCTAAGTTACAGCGGCGCTCCCATGGGTAAATAGCAACTATCTGATTTTATTTTACAATCTTCGAGTGTGCTGGCACTAACAGATCAATTACATATAAAGGTGCTAAAAATACATTTCATCAGCGCCACCGATACACAATAAATAAGGGTTGTAACAGTTGGATAAAAATAGAATTAATTATTATTCACATGTTTTTTGCACACTGATGTTCAACACGTCTGAATTCGTTGAGCATTCTGCAGAACAGTGTCAGACCCAAACAACAAGAGGACCCGCGTGTGCTTGTAAAAAGCCACCTTCACTTAAGAGAAATTCGTTTGCAATAAACACTTCACAAGTGCCGCAAGTTTAGTGTCAACAAGTGACTCGTGGAAAAAATACCCCCAGCAGGCTTCCAAAGAAAAAAAAGGCTACTGTAAGTGGCTGCGTAAAACCGATAATGTGCAATGATGTCATTATATTACATTGGCATTTGTGAATGAGAAATAGAAAAATTGAAAATGAACAGCCTTCAACAGGTTGCCTCCTACTTTAACTTTTGAATCAGGTAAATAAAGTGTTTTGGGGGAGTACAACCTTAAACTGTTAAAATATTCTAATCTTTTAACATTTCACCGTTATTATAAGATAGGGGGTAAAAAAGTAAAACTTTGATCGTAAACGTGTTGCTTCAACCTTTGAGTTAATGAAGAATCAGGTCAGGGATATTTTATTAATTATTACTACCATTAGTATATTTCATTATACTGTAAGGATTTAGCACATGAAAATAAGATTATGCTCCAACAGACTTTACTCTAATTTTGTTCATTTGGTCAAAGGGACAATGCCAACGCCTGGTAGTTTCTAGGGCCCACCTCTGACAGGAAAACGGCCCGAGTTTCGATCAAGAGGAAAGTTGAAAAGACGATAATAGCCCAGCGATACTTCAGTGGCCCTGTAATGTTTCTTTGAGCCTCTTTCTAAATTTAACACAAACACCACAGACTAATATTCCACACAGATTTAATTTTCTGGAACTTGGACCTAAAGCTCTTTATTATGCGTGCGTGTTTGGGACTGAAATTTCAAATGTAGGAGTGAATCCAACAAGTCAGTTTTTGATTTGAATGTATTAAGTCGCCTCCACGTTCAGGTCTGCTATCATCCCCGTGAAGAGTGAGCTCTGCAGGTTGCTTCTGGACTCCTGCGCTAATCGGGAGAACATTCCTCCTCTCCATGACCTTGATGTAATTGTTTGGCTCCGAGGTGTTGTCCCGACCACAGCCTGTACAGCAGCGGCAAGCAGTGGACTCCACGGGGGAGGAGTGGCATTTAACCCCCAGATGAAAACAACACAACCTGTTAGGTGTCTAACACGGAGTACAGCTAATTACTGCTGACTGCTGACTGCACATCTGAATCTGAAACAGTTACAGACAGAAACAAGTAAAGACTGCAATGATCCTCCTCAGCCTGACACTTAAACATTCATCATTTCAAAGAAGGTTTTGTGTTGCTGAGGTATCATGATCCCTTTAGACTTCATCCAATATCTTTTTTATTTCTGCAAGTGAATAATAATTTAATAAATTAGACTTTTTTCCTGTTTGTTCTTTTACATTGGGGTTGATGTAAAATAGGCAGGTATCAGACATCACCGTTTCCCTGTCTTATTTCCTCTTAGATTAGGTCCAGAGATGTCAAACGTGGCCTTGACATGGCAACCTCAAGCCCCCTGTCATTGAATGGTAATAATTCAAACATGCTGACTGTGTGTGTGGGAGGAGGGAGGAGGAGGAGGGGGTGGTCTATTGTTGCTCATGTCATGCCTGTCTTCATCCCCTGTTTCCTCAAGCTTTTGGAGGTCATGGGAGCTTTTCTTTAGAAGATCAAGTCAATCATGGTGGGGTCAGAGAGGCAGTGCAGAGCCACCGCAGGCTCTTTCAGGTTTAGAGCAAAGAAACTGGTGGTGCTGCAGGTGATGGGAGAATGACCCAAACTTCTCCACTCAGTATTTATTAGCACATTTACTTCTAGGATTACAGCTAAACACTTGTTGTAATCAACAAAGGTCCTCAGGGTTAATAAGGCTTGTTTTCTGCAAACAGCCTTGGCTTTAAACATGTGGCTTTATGAGTAAGACATCTGCTAACTGTTTATTGCATTTAAGTAATTACCAGACTATCAGATGCACTTAAGGCCAATAAAATCATGAGAGGCTCAGATAAAGCCATTAATTCTGACTGTGTAAACAAAATTATCCCTTTGTGTTGGGGCTTGTCCTTCTCAGAGTCTCCCCCCAGTGGAGGAACAAAGCCAAAACAGACAGCACAGTTTGAGTGCTAATTAATGTTCAGCTTGGATGCAGAGTGACGTGTGAAAATAAAAGCTGCTCTTGCTGAATACTTTGCAGAAAGTTAATTCTTCAGCAGCCCCGAAGAAGCCCTGTGCAGGAGATTAAAGACACACAAAGTGTTGTGATCTATAACTTGGCAGGCAGAGGAACTGTCTGGCCTCGGAGCATCCTTCATTTCGACACTCACTGGTCTTTATTCTTCAAGATGGCAAAGACATATCCACTGCAAGAAACATTTATAATGGGATCTCTAGCTGAGCTTTGCACTTTTTCTAAACCCATTTCAAGAGTTTAAGGGGTGAATAATGGGTATCTTTAAGAGCAATCTCCTTAATTTTCTTATTTAATGTGTCAAATTTCACATTGTGTCATTTTTAATAATTTATATGGATGTTAAATTAATGTACACCGCTTTAAACCCACATTTGGCTGTTGCATAATGCAAGGCCTCTGCATAAAGGACTGAATTTGAAAGGCCAACAATTTACTTCTAAAGAAGTGAATAAAAAAAAGATTTTAAGTTAAAGATCCTCTCCAGACATGTGTCAAGATATATAAAAATCTTCTGCTTGGAATAATAATTTGTGTACCGTACAAAAAATATCCAATTACCTAGTTAAAAATTCTTAAAATGGATTCTAATTAACTGAAAATCAACTCCCAGTATATTTGCATTTGAGGTTTCAACATCACTTTTGTGTTGTTGTTGCTGCATAAAGATTATGTTGTACATACACAACTTAAACTCAGATTCAAAGCTGCAGTAGGTAACTTTTATACAGATAACTTTTTGACATATTTCCTGAAACTTTCACTATATCCTGACATAGTCTGTAAAAAAAAAAAAAAAGCCTAATGGCATTTGTGAGAATCCACCACGCCTGAAAGAAAACAACCAATTGGGCACCTGGTTAGCTCAGTGGGTAGAGCTGGTAACCCATGTACCAAGGCTGAGTCCTTGCTGCAGCAGCCCAGGGTTCAAATCCAACCTGTGCCCTTTTGCTGTGTGTCATCCCCTCTCTCTGCCCCCTTTCCTGTCTGTCTCCAGCTGTCCTATCAAACAAAGGCATAAAAGCAAAAAAATATATACTTAACAACCAAAACAACCAATCAGAGCCAAGAAAGACAGTTGATTGTTGAGTTTCATTTAAAAGCCTCAACTCAAATTCCAACTATCTTTAGCACATAAATATCTCAAGGTATTCGTCTACCTGCAAGGTCCAAGGAGGGGAATATGTTTCTTAGTAATTAGATGTTTCTCTCTGTGTAGTCCCCACTGACCAATTACTGTTTGGCCCTGACAGTCCGTCTCAAGGAGCTAAAGAGGCAGCCCTGCGGACAGCACGCTGACCAAGGGAGAAATACAACCAGCCTGGCCTTCTGCCTCACTGCTGCTGGTCGCATTAGCTTAATTCTCTCCTCTGCTGGGCAGATTTACACCTCTGCTCTTGATTACATCCTCGGAGAGATCAGATGTTACCGGTCTGTTAGAGCCAAAATCACACTCTGCTAGGCTCACCAACCTGCAGAGAGGTTAAATATACCCTGCCCGCTGTTGTGGTCTTTAAAATACAGAAAAGTGGTACAGGGAGAGTCATGAAATGAGATTTTTTTTAGCAGAGATATTTCAACTCTAAAATTCCACCAGCCATTAAATAACTATTGCTTCAGTTCATTGGTGCAAAGACACTGTGGACGTAATTTGATGTAGTAGGATGCCAGTGGTGTCAAGAGACTATTAATTTGACCTTAAAATTATATACTATATTATATACATTATATACACAAGGCAAAGGTTTATGTCACTTTTGGTAATTACTCATCTAGGCAGTGTGATGTAGCAGGCAGGGTGCATTGACAGGAGTATCCAGGTGAGGGCAGCATTGCTTTAGACATGATACCTTCAACATAACTCAATAAAACAAAACACCTATCTATCAACCATGCTATGCAGCTTTCTGAGAGGCAAAATATATCAAAAGGCAGAATCTGCTCAGTGTATTGATTTTAATAACGCAGAATTTAAGAATACAGAGGCTTTGGAATTTAAAGTGAAAGTGATGAAATACCTTCCAATCTCTGGAAGTTCAGCACACAGGATTTTGTCTTTCCAACCTTAACTGTTCCTCAATACTAGTTGTGTTCGTTCTGTATTATATT